TGAGTAAGTAAGCCGAGCCTCCCCATCTTTTTTGCTGGTAGTCTCTCAGCCCATGCTAGAACTACCCGAACACATACATGCCGGCAAAGGCTCAGACCTTGGTGACGATTGCGAAGAACTCCTAAGACTGATCCCAACCGTAGTGATCGGATCTTCATGGCTGCCGTATTCGGAACCACAATCATAACACTGACAGGAGTCATGCATCCAATCTCGCAAGGCCATTGGAATGGCAAGCCGGCAGTGTACCGCGTTTGCTCCACAGGTCTGGCCGGGGGTCGGGGTGTGCGGAGTTTTTGCAGCTCGCCGGCTTGGGGGCGGGGCTTGGGGTGCAGGGCTTGATCGTAAGGTTGGCCATGGCTTGGCGAGCTGTGAGTTGTGGTCCGACTGTAGACGGCATTCTGACACGTTTGTGCAACAATCTCGGGAGAGCAATCTCTGGGACAGGTTGGTGGTCTTTCGCAGGTGCTGGAGCATAGCTATACTAAGATTATGCCTGCCCTCAGGAGCCGTGGATTTTCGCCGGCACTCTGCGCTTGACACCCGGAGACGGTGGTCTTGTGCCAGTAGATTCGGCAGATATTCGGAAGTCGTCTCTGTAGTGCCGAGGCCTCGGATGGAGTTAGGGTTGATACTTACACCTAAACCCTAAATGTAAGCCATTCCAAACCATGGGCTCGGCAAACATTATGGTTCGCGCCGCCAGCTCTGGGTAAGGATACGCTGAAGGTTTAGGATTTAAGGCTTGGGGTCCAGGCGGGTTTGTGAGTTGACAGCTTTCAGGAGTTAGGTTTGTGTTTCCAGGGCTGCTTTGGTTTTCATTGTGCGGAATCCAGATGCCGAAAGGATCCCGAAACCCAGTAACGGCAAACCCCTAAACTCTAAACTCATCCGCAACTTCGTGCCAAAGGATCCAACATCCTCTTCGGGCTGGACATGAACGAGAGCCTCTATGACTCTGTCTTGGAGGCACTCTAGTTCGGATCTTCAGAAGCTATCTCGCTTTTTGACTCGGGGTTTCGGCGAGTGTGTAGAGGGGGCCTGGGGAAGGGTGGTCCTTGTTTAGTCTTGCTGTCTTCTTGGCGACATCAGAAATCAAAGGCCTTAGTCACTCATATGATACTGCGGGTCCTATATGATGGAGTATGTCTGACCTGGTCTTCCTGGCTGTATGACTCAAACTCCAGCCCTTGGATTTTAAGTTCAAGATGACGGAAGATCTTGAGCGTGGTGATGCCTTTCATAATGTGGGAATTATTGGGAATTGATGAGGGGCCTACTCAGCCGTTGCCGAGTTTTCGGCGGTTCCCGGGTGTGCATCGCAGCACCCGGCCGGCTGTTCTCACCGTGGCATGGCGAAGGGATCGGACTTGTGCTTCGCGTGCAAGAGCCTTGAAAAGATTGTTCCAGAGCCGGGTGTGTGTGGCCATAAAGCCCAAATCCCAAGTTGTGGCGTAGGATCTTCCAACTGATATCATGTAGGCTGGACTGAGATGCCGGGAGGGATAGCGCCTTAGGCATGGCCCCGGGCGGAGACGGGTGCCGCTTCTCACTCACTCACTCACTCACTCACTCACTCACTCACTCACTCACTCAGCTGCGAGACATCCCCGAAGGCTGTACATGCCTGAAAGCCCTAAAGCCTCAAACCCTAGACGGCTAAACTCTGAAGCCTTTCTACTCCTTAGCCTAAATGCAACAGTCGACGACGCGAAAAGCCATTGAAAGGCTTGCGCTCTGAAGCCGGATCTTGCCTCCTTTCCCTCTGGGGATCTGCCGGGTAGCTCAGAACAAGGGCTATAAGCTTTTGGCTTTAGGGTGGGGTTTAGGGTTCGGGTTGCAGGGCTTTGAAGTTTGGCCCCCTGGGTTTCCTGGTTGTTGATGATGACTCAGGCGACGATGCCGACGTCTTCGTTCATCGTAGAACCGATGCTGCTGCTCTGGATGTTGATTCGTGTGATGAGGAGAACTGCGAGACGGACAACCTGAGGATTATCATGATGACGATGATGATGATGGTGGTGATGATGATGCTGATGACGATCATCATGCTGGTGATCACGACTGGCTGATGTTGGTACTGGTGCTTCTGGCAGTGCACAGGGGATGTTGGTGATAGATTAAATAATAACACGGGTTCGAAGAAGAGGAGTGATAAGGTGACGACTCAGCACGATGATTAAGGAGAAGGTATTGTGGGCTGCCCTTCCATTACGTTTGTTTTTACTGGTTTAGGTACTGCTAGCCGTGATTCGTTCATGACTCATGACTCGTCGAACTCACTATGTCCGTTACCTCCATGCCCGCCGTGCTCATTGCCAAGGGCACAACTAGGACTACGGTCATTGCCACTCTCGTTATTCTTTCCTTAGCAGAAAAGCTTTCGACAGTGCGTCCGGCTTCGCAAATAATGCCAGACAGTGGTCAGAGTACCGGAGTTTCGGTGCTCCCCCTTGACGATCCTTGACGTGTTCGGGTTCAAGTTTCCAGCGTGTAGAAGGTTAAGGGTTGTTTGGTCGGTGTTTCCGAGGTGTTGGATGGGCTTTGCGGACATTCTCACTCTCTGCAACCCACATCATTGAGTGCAGAAGAAGTGACAATTTCACCCGAGGACAGACGTCGCTGCAGGCAGGGATCTGCGTCGTGTCGTTGGCTTTGTGCCGGTAAAAACCTCACACAATCAAGCCTTGATGCCCAGGCGGTCCTACAAGTTGTCGAGACCCCATGAGATCACACACAGATACAGACGACAGACAGACAGACAGACAGACATACAGACAGACGCATGTCGGTCTGTCTGTCTGTCTATCTATTTAAACTATTTATCTACCTATTTATCTCTGTTTACCTGTCTTTCTATGCCAACTGTAACAACCGTTGTGAAGGAGCTTGTAAGGTTGCAAACTTTGGCATGAAGGGTTCAGTGTGGAGCTGGTGTCACATACATACATACATACATACATACATACACACATACATACAGACATACATACCCGCATACCTACATACCTACATACCTACATACATACCTACATACATACATACATACATACATACATACACACATACATACATACATACATACATACATACATGACCGCCGCGGCCACGAACCCGACGACCAAGACGACCATGACCACCATGACCAGGACCACCAGGACTTGCTATCACGACCAGGCAGAAGCGAGAAGACCACCCCGGGCCGGGAGCACTACGGTGCACCACGCTTTTGGGAAATATGTACGTGTTTGTATTTACATCTGCATATATATATATACACACATATATATATATGTGTGTTTCTATCAATCTATCTATCTGTATGCAAGCAGATGACTGTACATTACAATGTATTAAAATTATGTTATGGTTTACTTTGTTATATTGATTTATATTGTATTGTTATGTTGTATTGGGTTGTTTTACATTAGATTGGGTCCCACACACACACACAGATATATATATATATATACTATATATATACACATATATAATCATATATACATATATAGATGTGTGTATGCATTTAGCTATATATGGTCACCGTATATCCCATGCTCATCCTTCCAGGCGGCTCGACCATCTCGGGCGGCCAGCGCGCACGGGTGAGCCGCGCCCTCTGATTTCAAGTCTCAGCTGGCAATATGTGGGCCTTTCTGCCCAGACCAGGGTCTAACATGCTACGTAAAGCATGATGATCATGGAAAGGAGGCTTAAGGAGTAAGCATGCAGGCGTCCATGTAAGCGGCAAAGCGTTGAAGCCTGCACCCGAGGGTTGCAGCAATCCTTTGGGTTTCGGGTTTGGGTTTCAGGGTAGGAGCGAAGAAATCCCAGAGCCGTCCTGGGACAGCTGTACCTGTCTATTTAGCGTTAGCTGGCCATAGGGCTTATAGCTTCCCCGAAGGACTATGTCACGCCGCCACAACTCTATTCTGACTGCTTACGCTCTTGCTAAATCCCTGCAGGGGCTAAGTCTCGAACCTCCCGGTTTCGTGGGTCCCGTCAAAATGAAGGCAACGTCTTTGCATGCACAATCTTCGGATGCTTTTAGGGCCGGTGTATGTTTCAGGGTCCCGACTTCTCGCATGCCGTGTGAGAAGACGTCTTGCAGTCGAGGCAGAAAGCCCCGAAGACCTGCACCCTGAACTGTGTTGAAACCCTGCCCTACGAGCCGCAAACTAAAAAAACAAATCTCCGAACAGATCGTCGTAAACCGCTTCCCGAGTCCTAAACTCTGAACCCCAATCCCTGAAAGGAACTCTTATGTTATCCCTGTATAGCAAGACAGAGCCCTGGTAGAACCCTGAGAAGCTAAACCCCGGAAGCCCTCAAGCTGTGCTCCGCTTACCACAGAAGCCCGGAGAGGTTCCCATAATATGGGTACGTTATTTTGGGGTCCTTAGAATAAGGATCCTACTATTTGGGGTACTATATTCGGGTCCTCTGTTTTCGGAAACCTCAATATCTCAAAACCCCATTCCAACCATTAAGGCCCTATATTGCCTTCTGAGGCCTCGCAAGAGCTGCTTACCGAGCCCTTGTGGAGCTGCAGCAAAGGCGAGCACTGGGGGCGTTTAGGGCTTGGGGATGTGGGGTTTCGGGTTTAGGTCTCATAGACTTTCTGATGGAATCAGGGCTTCGTAGACTCCGCGGTTGTTTTTAACTGGCTCAACGTCAGGGATCCTTTTTGATGTTTAGTGGCTTCGATATTTCGACTCCTCCACGTACAAGGGAGCCCATGAGAAGAACCCTGACTCTCCAGCTGGAAGGGATTGGGAGTTCAGGCCTGGGGGGTCGAGGCTTGGGGGTTTATGGTTGAGTTCAGGAAGAGAAGTAGTCGCCGTGGTAGCCGTCGCAGCAGTAGCAGAAGTGGTAGTAGGGTTTGCAGCTACCGTCGGGCGTGCCCGGTGCCCGGTGTCCATCGTAACGATTCCTGCTTCACTCGCAGGAAATCGCAGAGCAAGTATGGCATCCTAGAGATCCCACAGACTACAACGAAGGCAATCCCCGCTGGTCTTGCTGGACGACCCCTTCTGCGCTTTGGACGAGGAGGTGGCGAAGCAGGCCGGTTTCATCCTTGCCAGCATTCGAAGACTGAAGTGCGGGCTCTTGAAGCATACTTAGGGCTTAGCGTCTCTATCCGAACTCCGTGGGCAAGATCCTGCTCACTACTGAACCAGCTTATGTCGGAAGATCGAAGCCGATGGGCTCCAAAAGCCCTGATCAGATCCGAAATCAATGAGTTAGGGTTTTTAGGGTGTAGGGTTTAGGGTTACCGGTTTAGGGCGAGTACAGGACCCTGAATCGGACGATGACGAGAGGACGAGAGCTGTGTTCGGAGGTTTGCAGATCACTGCTGTCACCCACAAGCGGTCTGCTGAGGCCGGAAAGGGGTCCTTTGGTAGGGTGGCTTGGAGTACCAAGTGAAGGTTTACAATCAGATCCTACATACGAGTAGATCCTGGTACGTTCACAAAAGTTTTGGGGGTTTATGGTAGCGAAGATCCAGAAGTGGGTTCATGTTTGGACAGTTGAAAGATTCCGGTCACAGGCTTTGGCAGAGAAGCGCCATGTCGGGGCATAGATAATTCTTAAATGTGTGGAGTGGGGTCCTATCATTACCCTATGCTACTTTCCCACTAAGTTTCTGTAGAAAAGCAGCTGGGAGGAAGTCGAGCTGGATTCCATGCCACCCATGTCAGGCACTGTAGAGGTGCAAGAATTTCAATTCACATGGCCCAGGGGAACCTTATTTACACCCCTAACGTAGAAGGATACTGCATATGTGGACCCCCGAATAAAGGACCGCTGAATTAGGGTTTGGAGTTAAGGGCCCCACGAACGCTAGTCACTTGACTAAGAAGGTTTGAGGATTTGCAGAACCTTGTGTCCAAACCTTGCATTAACTGTGAGTCTGCAACCACGGAGAGCCAATCCACCTAAACCATTACACCTTAAGCTCCGAAGTAGAAGACCTGGGACCAGGCGTGCGGGATTTAGGGTGTTGGGCGTATTGTTCTACACCTTTCCTTCCATCAGACTGGCCACTAAGCCTAAGCCCCAAACCCTAAACCCTGGGCCCTCCAACCTAAGCCCGAGCCCCCAAGCCCTTCCCACTCCCGCGCTTCCATGTTCCGTTTCCCTGTCGGTCCCGCCTTGTCCCGGCAGGCTGCATTCACAGTACCCACAGTAAACATCAGTGGTCTGAGTAGTAGGAGGAATAATGGTCACCGCGGCGAGCGCAGCAAGAGCAGTGAACAAATGAAATGATAGTAGATCATTAGTCAAGACAGTCGAAGCATGCGTAGGTTTCTCGACAGAAGGAGTTTCCCTAGCAAGGGGGGCTTGGAAGGCTTAGAAGGACCATTGAGATTATTCTAGTTGTTGGGATCTTGTGTTGAAGGCGTCGTTACCCAGAGCCGGAGGATCCTACTACTGTAGGTCTTAGCAGGGTTAGAGTGTCAAAGGAGCTTCTTTTCAATGCCAAAGTCAGAGGGTCCTTGGCCTAGTGTAAATCGGACCCACTGCATTGTAACTACTCCTGCTCAGGCGCTGCACTGTGATGGTGGCTGTTCTTGCCTTAGCAGCTCTATGGCTTCAGGTCCAACATGCACTCAGGGTTTTCTGGTCGAAGCAGTAGATGGATAGAACTGTGACAGCTCTAACCTGAGCCGTTAGCCAACTGCATCATGACGAGAGGAACCTCATGACAAGAAACATCGTACCGGTGTCTCATCTCTGCACACGTTGAAGCTTCTTGTCCCAACGCTGTTCCAACAGACCCCCCCCCCTCCATCTCTGTGGGTCTCGCCACTGTCCCCTGTCGAGCGATGTCCGGAAGCTTTGGGCTTGGGGTTCGGCAGACATATATATATAATATAGATATAATATAATATATAATACAAATAACATATTATATATTATATGTTATTTATAGTATATACTATATAATATATGCACAGCTTCTCGGAGTTGTAGCCGGGGCATTTGGCGCGGCCGTCTCGAAAAGTACAGCTTTCCAACCAGAGCCATATGATTTCAGCTTGTCGGTTGATGGTTTAGTATGTAGTAGGCAAGAGCTTGGTGACGGTCTCTGTTGGCCATAGTCGAATGCCTTGCGAATGCTTGTGAACCGAGTTGAATCGATGAAGTGCCCCGTACCTGCAACACCGCGAGATTATCTTATCCGGAATTGGTCGTCGTATCAAGTCTTCCCATCTCCATCGGAGCCAGCTACATCGATGCCCTCCAAACCCAGCGAACCTCAAGAACAACTCTGTGACGGAACTAGGCCGCAGATCCCTGGTGGCTGCGCTGCCTCACCGATGTGGGGGATGTGCAGACAGGCCGCCCTGTGTTTTTTTCTTGGACCTGGAGTGGTTTATTTATGGTTTAGGCCACAGGGGTCCCAAACATGGTACTACTATTTCTGCGTTCATAAATGGGAGCGCTCTTGGGAGCCACGGATATGAAACCATTGAGACCCAAGTCTTTTAGAATCTGCCGCGACCAGAGCCTTCGAGCCTCTGAAGGCGGGCTATGCATCCTAAGCCCCGGAGAAGGGAAAAGACCGAACCTGCAGAGATTGGCAGTAAAGGTACGTAACAATGATTATGACGACGACCACGACAAAGATTATGCTGATGATGATGATGATGATGATGCCGATGACGCTCAGGCGGAGGAGGCTGCTTCAAACGTGCGAACATTTCGCTAAGTTTTGGAGGGAGGAATGTAACTTCTGGCGGAAGCAGCAAACCATACAATCGGGCTGTATCAGCGGCAGCAGCAGCAGCAGCTACGAAACCGGCCGCGGAAGTCGCAGCCCGTATCGCGACTACCGCAAACAGCTGCACCAGCAGCAGAGCAGCACTAGTTTTCGCCTTCTTTGTCCTGAACGAAAAAGTGATGCTAGCGAGATCTGACGAGGCTCAACCTGGCGATGATGAGAATGGTGACTGTGACGGTGACGATGATGGTGATGATGTCATGGAGGTTAGTTATTCTGATGCCAAGACAAAGAATGACAAAGCAGGATGTTGCTTATGCTGACATCATGGGCATGACGATGGTGATGATGGAGATGATGGTTTCAGTCACAACTGGCATTCTGTTGTTCTGGTGGTGTTGTGAACAAGCAGTTTAGCTCTTACTTACGTATACATGACATGTACATGCTAGCACTCTATGTGCTCGCACTTTTGCTATGGCCTGTAGGACCAGCAACTAGTGTGTTGTGTCAATAGCAGTAGTAGCAGCAGCAGCAGCAGGAGTCCACATGTGTTTCACAGTAGAAGCTCGTTGGAGTCCTGCAAGCAGCAAACGATGTTGCCGTCGTTTTTCCTCTTGGTCACCACGGCAGCATAAGAAGAATAACAACAAGTAAATACAACAATGACAGTCGTTCAGACAGCCGCGCAGGCATCGTCATCCTTCGGTCAGGGAAGATATTTGCTCAAGGCCGCGTTGCTGAGCCGCCTCCTCAGTCCGGGTGTTGGGTGCCCTTGAGCCGAGAGTTTAGGTCTCAGGCTCTTTCGTTTAGAGATTCAGGGTTTTAGCGTAGATTTGGTGTAGATGGGGCTTGAGTTCCTGATAGTCTCAAGAAGGATTACCTGGAGAAGCCATGGCAGAACGATTTGTTAGAGCTTCTGCAACTGCGCGGCATTGCTATGGGAACCCGAAACCCTAAAGCCTAAACCCAAACCCAAAACCCCAGCCCTAAACCCTAATCCTGCACCCTAAGCTCCTAAACTCTAAATGAAACCCGGAGCACTTAAGGCTCCGGCACTTCATCTCCAATTCCTTCTGCCCAAGAGGTCCGCAGGCAAACAGGCTAAGGAAAGGAGTTTAGGGCTTGGGGTTTAAGAACGGTTTGGGGCTTAGGGTTTAGAAGCTTCACCTCGAGTTTTCCGCATGGGCTGCTTGATCACCTTTGACTATGATCGAGTCTATGATGATGATGATGATGACGATTTCCAGTTCCACTACCATGACTATTACGGCCACTAGTACTGTTGCTATCAGTAATTACTATTACAATTGTGACTATTTATCATTACCAGTATGCACAGCATCGTCATTGCTCTTGTTGACATGCGCTGACACTGTTCAGCTTCGAAGCAATTGGAATTGTAAAGTAAACACAAGAGTGGCCGAGAGACTGCATGAAGAGATCCTCGAAACCTAAAGCCGTCAAAACTAAAAACGCAAAAACCATCGCTTTCCTGAGCCGCATCAAAAAACCAAGTAAAGTCGTAATGGCCGTAATCATAGCCCTCAGACCTCACCCCTGGAAAGGAAAGCCCCAAGCCCGTAAGCCAGCGAGCCCTAAAGCCCCACTAAACCCTGCAAAAAAAAAAGCACTAGAAACCGAACAAGAAGCCCGATACGTTGTAAACCCTGGGCACGCCTATAGACCCCGCATAGAACCCTCTAAAACCTCTAAGCGCTGAACCTCTTTCTCAGGCTTCGGCCACAGGATTTGACGGAGCTCAAGGAGCTGCGGGATCAAGCTGAGGAGGTCCCCGGGATATTCCCGGTCCCTAAGAGTCGTGTTTCAAAAAGTTCGTTAGGAGTATTGGGATGGCTTTTATACGAGTCATTGAAATTATTTTTTGCGTGGCTTATGGGTTAGTGGTTTCTGGCTTTTGCAGATCAGATCAGGTTCAGGGGCATGAGAGTTTGAGCTTTAGTGCCTATTGTTTGGGGGGTCCTCACAAGGATTTGAAGCAATTCCTGGAAGCAGAGTTCAACGGGACTGGACCCGAGGTTCAGGGTATCAGTTGCTGCGCTGGAGGCGTTCGGGTTCAAGTCGAGTCTTGAATTTCTGAAACGCCCATAAATATTTGTTATCTGTGGTTTTCGTGCCAAGCTGTATAGGTTCAGTCAGATTTCGGCCGAGCCTGTAGGCACGACATGCTTTGTTAGCAGGGCTTGAATGTTAAACTTACGACTCGGCTTTTGGTATGTCTCCTGAAATATGAAGGGGACTACGATGCTATTGACAGGCAAGAACTTCGTGACAAGACGCCACAGTTTCAGGCAAAGCCATGATATGCCATGTACACGAAAAACCACAGAGAACAGAGCTCTTCCCGGCCGCGACGAGCACCGCCACCGCCACCGCGACAACAAGAGCAACAACAACTGCGACGACAGCACACGCACCACAAACCGGTCACCAAAGCAGTCGTAACCACACGCCGGCGGGCGTTTCATTGCTAGGCTTGAAAACAGCATGAGCAATGAGAATGATAAGTCACGATAATCATTACAAAAAGGTTGCTGATGGCGGTGACGCTATGAAGGACTACAAAAAAAGCCATTACAGTGATTATTGTGACAGCAGTCACCATAAGATTACTACACGGGTTACCATAGCAAGTCGAACCAAAGGAATACTAATAGTGCCCCTTATGGTAAGCCCCGTCATAACCATATATAGCAACCCTCTTTACG